CACCAACATCATCAAAAATAATTTTATTTATCACCAAACCAGCCCTCCTAAAACTTACGCTCAATTAAGTTTCACTTTCAATTAGCGTTTTAATACCGACCACCTTGACATGGTTATTTTAAATTTAAGCAACTTGTATGTCTGTCATCATCTTACCAAATTTAACATCCCAGAGTAGAGTTATTTGAGTGAGTTTAAGAATGTTTTTTCTTTCAATCTTCGACAGTTGTTTTGGCAATATCTGTGTAATCAATCATGCTAAAAATAAATTTTCAAATATATTATTATTTGATTTTCTATTTATTATTTATTATTATATTATATAAATTTAATTGTAGTAAAACCTTTATATTACGGGTTAATACGGAGACATTTATAACAAGGACGATAGAATCTAAGAGGGTTGCTACATCCCAAGAGGAGGTGTACAGCTTGAAGGCCCGTTCGTGACGTCACGCATCAACAGTAGCACTAAAACTAACACTAGACCTAGAACTAGAAACATCTCTTAAGACGGCTAAAACCGAATGTTTCTAGTTCTAGGTCTAGTGTTAGTAGTTATTCAGCTTTAGTGTAGCTTATGTTTTTCATCAAACTAAAACTAGAACTAACACTAGACCTAGAACAAACCTGGAAGAGGCAATAAACCAGTTCAATTTACATCTTCGTGTATAGATCATCAACCTGTTGAGGTTTGAAAACGTTTTTGCCAAATAGAAAAAGCATACATAGATGTTCAAAGACCTGCAATTGGGCTTTCCTATGATAAAATAAAAGCATGGCGGTGGATAAAACTACCGCTCAAGGAGTGCTAAATAAGAATTTTGTATTGGTGTTGTCTTTCCTTAGTTGTTGACTAAAAGGAAGCTTGTATTACCTCAAACCATCTACCAACATTCATAAGAATTTTAAGTTAGTGATTTTAAATAATTATACTAAATAGAATCAACTTGCATTTATACATATATTTATTGTATTTACGATGGCATTACTTAACCAAACAACATTTTATTTTTCGTTTACAATTTTCTACCATTCTAATTTGACGATGTACGAATTTTTCCACATTCCCACATCTATAAATTTACATTTTATAGCCATAGATAACGCCTCGAATCGTTTTTCCGCTTAATGGCTGTAATTAATACACGATAAATCTTAGTTAAACGACCGCGGTACGTACTCTGTGGAAACCTATCCGATTGCGAACTCTAACCACAGCAAACAATTCATTAATTATGGACGGGTTTTTGATTGAACCGTCCACGCGTTTCACGGTTTGCATTCTGCATTGTTGTTTTTTTTGCCTCGCGCATTTCCTGGCTTGGAACGATGCCATATTTGTGAATTAATTCTGATTTCAAACGGAAAAGTACATTCCACCGAGAAAATCGATGTTTTGTAATTTTACTTTTTAAGGTCAAACACGTGCGCATGGAATGATTTTATATGTTTTAAGTGTGAATCGTATAAGTTTGTTACTAGAAATAACAAACTAATCAGGAATGCAAAACCGCAGGAAATTGTTGGAGGTTAAAATATGGAAGGGACATGGAAGCTATCCAAATTTAAAGCAATTTCTCTGTAGAGCGTCAACGGTCAAACGGTTAATTTATGGTAGTAATTTGTGTGGTTCTCGCGGTCGACGACACACAGTCGTCAAATGTAAATTCCGTTGGGTTTAGTCTGGTTTAAATTTTGAAATTGTCTAGAGGAAAATATGGATCCTTTAAAGGGGTTAAACATTTCTGAGCTAATTTACACGTGTTGCTCGAGCGTTCGCGGTTCGTTGACTCGTCCACGATCGATGGTAGCCTTTTTTAAAAATAAAACTATGTAAGTAGATTATTCGTCAAAATGGAATATTAAACTTGATTAAAAAGAAAAGTTCTGATTAAATTATATATAATTAAAATACCTTATTATTCAAACTCAAATTATCTTATTATTTGTAAGTCCACGTGTCTCTGATGTGCGAGATGCAGTTACAAGGTCTGTTTGTTTTTTGATCCTCGTTTCAGTTTAGGTGGACGTGCCGGGGATTAAGTCGATTAACGTCAACGTTAATGTTTACTTGGATGAGGGTACATTAACTCTGCTCTTTCATGTGTAATTCGTTGAGTTCAGTTAATCCAATTTAAAAGCTCCGTTAACCTCTAATTGCGAATAGTTGTTCTTAACAAGGCACGATTACGACTTTTATAAAAGCTTTTGTTAAATAAACTGGAAATCGAACATCGAATTGGCTTCTACTCGTTAAGAAAAGTGTAAAATGTTATAAACGATTTTAAATGTTTTATGAAGTGAAAACGTGTTTTATTAGTTAAAGTGGATTTTAAACGTTTATATCTTTCAAAAGTTGGATGGTTCATATAAAATTAACTGTTGAAGAAACTAGGTCCAGAGTGACATAAATTTTGTCTTATTATCCACGAGCACACGGCTTTTACCATCTTCGGGCGTTCACGTGGAAAGAATAAAACCACAAGGTTTATAATCCAAGGACCGTTTTACGATTCAAGCTGATGAAATGTCCTAAAAGCAATGAAAAGGTCTATTTCAGAACTAAATTTTCATGATTGTTCCAATTCAGAACTAGGTTAAACAGCTTATCTTTAGAAACCGACCAAGTTCGTTATAAGCAATTATACTTTGAAAGTTTAACACATAAATAGAATAAATTAACATCTTTCAATTTATCTTTCATTACAATTTAAAAATAAATGATGTGATGAAATCTTAATATAACGGACTTAAGGTCTTAAGGTGGTCGGTTTAAGTTGCTAGATTGTTGTATATTTTTATTGAACTAGAAGTAGAACTAACACTAGATCTAGAACTAGAAACATTCGGGTTTAGCCGTCTTAAGAGACCTACAGCTAAACCTGAATGTTTCTAGTTTTAGATCTACTTTTAGTCCAATAAAAATTACTTTTAAGCATAACAAAGTGTGCATCGTTTTACTTCCTCCTCAGCACATTTAGGTTTAATACCCAGACCTTGCAGTTCATGCAAACTAGTTTCCTGTGTTGAAAACAAAAATGAGACATATTCTAGTGATAATGATATATTATGCTAACTAGCTTTTACTGTATGTCAAATTATATTGACATGTTGCATTTTACGTGGGACAAGTAATGTAGGTACGCCTTGGTTTCTATGCAAATATATTTTTGTATATTGTATCTTAAGTGAAATTCACGGTATATCTTATCGTAAACCATGAACTTTTATTAGCTTTAATTTTTGTGTACTTTGATAATTAACATTTCAATATCTATAAATAAATCTCCGTTTGTTTTTAACAATTTATCTAACAATTTTGTCCACCAATATGTTGTTTACAACTGCTTTTACAACAATCGAACAAAGCCTTGAGACCAATAAAATCCATTTATAGCTTCTTATTGACCATGTTGTTCCAGTACATTTCCCCAGACGATTGACTAGTAAATCTTAGCTGTAAACCTCAATCATAACACACCACCAACGCAATTTAAAAGCTTTACAAACCTTTTCCATTGTGTTTTCTGATCGTAACATTTCAACCTTTTTCACCGCAAACAATAAATTTCATAGCATCTCTACAGTATCCAATCAAAAAAAAAATCTAAAAAGGAAACGTCCAGCGAAATCCCATTAGAAAGGCAACATTGTTTTGTAAAGGAGCTTATAGAATCATTATCGGTACGGAGAAATTTATGTCCTTGGCCTACCCCAATTTCAGGAAGTATAGTAACAAGAAATCCCATATCTTACGGTCACCTCCGGAGGGGGGTTGAGAACGTGTGGAAGGGTGGAATAGGGGGAAAGTGTAATAAAGCTCTTGGTGACCCAGATTTCCTGCGGTACCGAACGCTGCCGGCAATCATCGGGATTTTCTCTTTATCCACGATCCAACAGCACACAAATTTACCTTGAACACGCGCCCTCCGGCTATCGATGGTATTAAAGGGATTTTTCTCGCGATGTTTTCAAGACTTGAATGTCCACTAGATCTTATTGCTATGTATAACACCTACAGGGGATAACGTGTTCTTTGAAAGAAGTGCAATGTCCTTTATCTCTTCGAGGTAATGATTTTTCGGCACCTTCACAAGAACTTTTAAAAACACTTGATCTCGAGAAGTTTAATATCTTCAAAGTCATTCTCTAGGTACTGAAATAGTTTTGAACGAAAGCTTCTTTGAAACTAATTATAACTTTCGAAGCAATTAGAACCAGATTCAATTTAACAAGTGCTTCTGTGAAACCTTCCTTCCCACTTTCGGTTAATCATTGGTACTATTACGTCACGTTCTTAGACGACCTTACAAAAATATTTCTTCGATCGTTGTTGATCATATTATTTATAAAAAGTGATTTAGAATAATTTTTTTTTGTGTACATCGTATTTATTATTTATCATCTTATGTAAATAATAAAATGTACATCAATTGAAATGTTTCAATAGATTAAGTTAATAAGGGTTATATTGTATAATGAATATTATTCCCTAATGGAGCATTATCTAGAAACTGAATCACCGAATGAACAATCCAGGTTGCATTGAGCATAAATTTCCCGGGAATAGAACATTGAATTAATCCTCGTATATCCGGAAACGTACAATTCCCATGTTCAAATAAACGTCATGGTTAATCAAATTTAATCGAATATTCCCACTTTAGTTTCCTCGGAAATCTTTGCTTGTCCGTGCACCAAATAAAATGCACCTTTACTTCCAGCCACAACCTCTTTACGTCCAACAACACACCAAAATGCATCGCCCGGTTCGTAAGTTTGCTTTCGAGTTTATATTGTCTAGCACCACTACCGTGGATGGTTTCGTTGTCGGAAATCGCTAGAGCGAAAGCTTAAGTGCTAAGTTGACATCATTTTCAGTTCGCCTGAAAGCTACACGATCTCAAAGCAGGTTTCGAGTACTTTTATGGGCATGATTTACAATTCTCTGTATGTTACTTTTATTCGGTTAATTTTTTTATTTCATTTTGTTTCAGATGCTACGTAACACGCTGTAACCTTTTTAATCATTGTAACATCAATAAAAGAGTCTGATCCTAATTAAAAAAAGAGCAATCACGTCGTCATTTGCGCTGCCGTCTCAATTACACAACATCACCCCCAATGTATCTATGGAGGCAACTTTGTTCAACCACAGTCATCAAGCTCTGGTTTACACCATCGAAATGGATACCTCGGAAAATCATTCAATCATCGGAGTTGACGTCACCAGAAACATCTCCAGGCTGAATTCACCAGTTTCCGTTACAATAGCGGTACTCTTGGTGTTCCTTTTCTCACCGATGATACTAATCGGAAATTCATTAGTGTTGGTCGCTATGTATCGTTTTAAAAGACTTAGAACTCCAAGTAATTACCTCGTGATGAGTTTAGCAACGTCCGATTTAGGAATCGGAATGTTTATGCCGGTCGGGATGTATTTAGAATTAGGTGGAGCCGAAAATTTCACAAGCCCTAAGGTGTGCCTGTTTAGTTACGGTGTTGCGACTACACTGTGCTGTGTTTCTGTGTTGGTGATGGTCGCGATTGCCGTTGATCGATTTACATCTATAGCAAGACCTTTAAGATATAACAATTTAATTACACATTCGGCCATCGAAAGATATATCATCGTCTTTTGGATTTATTCATCATTAGTTGGATTTACACCACTTGGTTATTCAATGTTATATGAAAATTTAGATAGGTAAGTAAAACATATAATATAAATAGTAAAATCTCCACATAACATTCGTTAGAACGGACTTTGGATATAACGGATAAAATATTTTTAAGTCATACTCTTTCATAGATAGAATCCAACTCGGGTTATTTCTCAAGTTGCTTTATTCCATGTTTATTGATAAACTTGGGGTATTCCCCTATCTCTATAACAAGACGGCTAAAACCGAATGTTTTTAGTTCTAATGGTAGTGTTAGTTTTAGTTATTCAGCGTTAGATTGTAATATATTTTTCATTGAACTAAAACTAAAACTAACACTAGAACTAACACAAGACCTAGAACTAGAATCATTCGGGTTTAGCCGTCTTGAAAGACGTGCGGCTAAATCCGAATGTTTCTAGTTCTCGGTCTAGTGTTAGTTCTAATTTTGCACTAGCACTATCACTAGAACTAACATAAGACATATATTTCTCATTGAACTAAAACTAAAAATAACACTAGACCTAGAAGTAGAAACATTCGGGTTTAGCCGTGCGTCTCGAGAATTTTTATTGTTGTGTCAAATTAGAATGGTAGAAAACTGTAAACGCTAATTGAAACTGTGAAATAGTAGTTGCCTACCTATGCGTGACATCACGAACGGTCCTTCGAACTGAACACCTGTTTTCTAGATGAGGCAGCACTCTTAGTTTACACCGTCCTTGGTATAAACATTTCATATAATGGACTTTTGGCAATTCCTTCCCCATATTATTCCCGTCGTGGTTTTATTGTAATTATAAATACATATAATTTAATTAATCTATAAAAGATTTTATATATTTGATACATAAATTATCGAGTCAATTCCATAATTTCGATTGGAATTCATTTATTACGTTGTTTAATGGTAAAGCGAAGTGAATTGGAAACGATATTAACGTTTGCAGTTAGCAGATAAAATATTTTATGTTCGTTGCACGCGAACTGTGGTTATGTTTTAATGGAGGGAGTAGGTGTGTACCTAGCGGGGTTCGAGTGCCCCCGTTTGCGTGTTCTATTAAATTACACTGCCTTCGTTACGTGTGTATACCTAGGGTGCATAGAATTTCCTAGTGGAGGAGGGTCATTGCCATGGGGGGATACTGCGGAATGAGCTCTTTACAACGTAGAATAATATCCCGGATGGAATGTGATTAAATTCTAAATAGAATAATAAAGTAACGGAATTTTAAATTTTACTATAATAACCGGGCTAAACCTTAAGCTAATCATAATCTTGATTACAATGTTCGAAAATGCTGGAAATGCAGATAACATCGATCCACCATAAACTATAGCTTGAAACATATATCTGCCATGTGCATTCGCCTCACCATATAAATATTCCGACAGTGTCGGCTGGTACATTCCGGAATCGCGCAGCCTGAATGCAACTTTAACCACAATTTATGTTCCTTTCTACCAGGAAACCTCCAGTTATAATCTCCAGAGTAGGAATCCACTTACAATCCTAAATACCAACATTGTTACAAACTTTCCTACCAATTAACTAATACATTAACACGAACATAACAACTGCTTTCATTATAATAATTATTAACCACCTTAAATTCAGCCGAGAATTAACTCAGAAAACACTTTGGGGACGGAGAACTCTATCTAATAAAATAATGGTGGAGGCGCCGGTTCGATAACAAACTCCTTTCGCCTTTTTTTTATTATCCGTCGGGTTTTATTCTATATCCACCGAGTTTACGTCGATCTAATTACACGATACTGAAACTACCCTTTCAAAGAGATTAAAACCAATTGTTACGTTTTTGGACGTTGTCTGCACGTGTGCTTGTCCAGCGGCGTAACGATGGCGCGACGTCGTAACGATGAAACAGGCTGAAATTGAAAGGTGAAAGAGGAGAACGAGATCCGTTGCGTTCTAGAGAAGCTTACGATGTCGTAAACGTCTCCATAACATATATCGTAACTTATATACACCGGACCGGGTCTTCGGGGAGTCGTTCGTTACGCAACGAAAGATAATATCAATTCAAACCCCTCCGTAGCGATGGTGTAACGACAGAAAAAAAATAATGAAAGGTTATCGTTACGAATGAATTGGTTATTATATGTCAATGTTAGGTAGAATAAGGAATAAAATCTCCGATTTTAGTTTCTCATTTTCTTTAGTTACAAATATATAGCAAGAAGAAGTTTGAAAATATTATTTTTATTAAATTAAATTGATTCATTTTCCAGAAAAAGTTAATGTTAATAATTTTTTTAAGAAATCATCATTTTCTTCAATTTATTTTACGCGACATTTTATCGTTTTTAGAGATTTTCATGCTGTCTGGTAGGTAAAGGTAACTTATCTTAGAAATAATGCAGAATACCGAAAGAATACCTAAAATACCATTTGTTTTAAAGGATAAAGTTAAGCGCAAATCATGTTATAAGATTTCAAGTCCGATTTATATCATACGTCTAAGAACCGACTTAGATACGACACTTAGATACACCAAGAAATTCTACAACAGAAAAAATTGATGAACCTACAATTTCTGACCAATGTCGTTTTCTAGATGTTAGTATAAAATTAAAAGTTTATATCTTTTATTTTATATAGAATTTAAGTTTAACTAGTTTCGGCCCTTGGCCATCTTCAGAGACTCTACAAATAGATTAACATCTCTCATCTTATCCATTTTACAAACGATAGCGGTAGGTAGCGCTCGTTAGCATAAGATATTACTATGTTGTACTACTATATCGTTATTGAACTAAAACTAGAACGAAAACTAGAAACATTCGGGTTCAGTTGTGAAAAAACTTCCAGTTGTCAAAGTCAACTTTAATTTTATTATTATATTCGTAATCTTCATAAAATAACCTTTAAAGTGAATTCAAATTTGACGCATTTATCTCATAAAATAAAAAGTTCGAACTTTCAACTTTTAATTTTGACATATTTATCAACTTCATAAAAAATCCTTTAAAATGAGTCCAAACTCGATATATGTAACTTTAATATTAATGGAGATACAATCACTTCCGGTTTGAAACATTAACGTCAATTTTGACATATTTGTCATCTTCATTAAAAAACCTTTAAAATGAGTCCAAAGATGACGCACCTATCTCAAAAAACAAAAAAGTTGAAATAAAAAACGTTAAACCCGAAGTTAGCAACAATGAAGATAGCAATTTAATTTTTAAATATTAATACCAACCTTAATTTTTTATTTTTGTTTATTACATTTTTGTTTTTGTGACAAATATTAAGACTTTTTATAAAAATTAATATGTCAAAATGACATTGACATTTCAAACCGGAAGTTGCTTATATCTCGAGTAATATTGGAATTAAACGTATCTTGTTTGGACTCATTTTAAAGGGTTTTTAATGAAGATTACAAATATGTCAAAATTGAGGTTGACATTTTAAACTAGAAATTAGTTATCATATAATAGAAGTTTTATAACTGAAATTAATCTAGTGTTAGTTACTTTTTCGCACTTTCTTTTTATTTTTAACATGTTTTTTGAGTCATTTCACATTGATTTAATGTGAAAATAAAATCGTCGATTTCTAAGCCACATGATGATTCTTGAATTTTTTTAAGAATAATGAATTCGTCGTTGTTTTATTCATTTATTTTCGACATTGCCTTTCTATTTCAATCATCATAATATTGTTGTTTTTAAGAGTGGCTTTCTCTCAAAACACGACGATTTTCACAGTTGCCCTGATGTTATAGTTACTTAGAACTGCAGTAAAAATTTTAAAAAATCATTTCATAAACTCATGTTTGAGGAGCAATTGCAATCAATTAAAAGACCTTTTAACTATTTAGCTTTTGACCAACCCGGTAGACCCAGTTGATTCTCATCGAAGACATAAAAATCACAAAATCATGCATATATTCTTCTTCCTCTTAATAAAGATTCCTCTACTCTATACGACCATCTTTGTGGATTCTGTTCATATGATGTCGATGTCCATACGAAAGTATAGGCTAAACTTTGGGGGGTTTTCCCGGTGGTCTTTTACTGTGCAGCCAAAGTAGGATACTTTGTCAATCTTTGCTATTCTGTTCTCATCCATCCTTCAACATGTGAGTTCAACATCTAAATTTAAAATAAAATCTAAAATTTACTTCGTCTTACTTGTTTTAGCTCCGTATGTCAAGATAGAACGTACTGCTGTTTTGTAAATACGTTTCTACTTTTAGTGGTTATAGCTTTGTTTTTCCATATTACGTCCCGTAAATACTCAGATATTCTTACAGCTTTATTCGATAGAGTGCGTAAACAAAGTTTATGATATTTTTAGTCATTGATTTTGTTTTGGATGTGATATTTTTATGTTATAGTGTTTGGCTATCTGGCACATTTTGTGAAACAGGCGAGGCATAATATTTTTATTGTCAACTTTATCTTTGCAGCTCCTAAGGTATATTGTTTTGCAAAGATTCCTCCCTTACATGACCTTGTTCATCAGAATCGATGTTTCTGCGATTTTAAATATTATTTTCTTTCATCTCCATAATAGCCTCCAGGAGTTTTACGTACACTTTAGAATTTAAATATCTGTAAAAAAAACATCAATTGGGGATAAATCCACCGTTCATTAACATTGGCATTAAGATACGCTCTTTCCATTGTGTGTTATTTTATTTTGAAATAATCACAAATATGATGTCTCATGATGTAATTACGTAATATTCCACCCCAAACATTTAATTTTTTGACTATATTGGGTATTCCTCTAACAATAGTGATGTGAGCTTACTTTATTCCAAAATCGCACGTTTTAACGGTGATCGGTTACATGTTGATGCTATAGTAGTGCGTTTTCATAGATCGAGCAATACTCTTCACAAGTTTTCGTAAATTATTTTCCAGTAATGGAATTTTCCGGAAACCGTTCATTAAACACTCTCTCTGTTTCATGCAGGTTTTTGTCACTTGTGGTGAATATGGACGAGAGCAAAAAATTCCGGTCGCTTTCAGTCTGTACGTAACAGATTTTTTAAATCAAAAAATGTTACATTTTATTCTTTTTTCTTTAATATAGAAAAATAACATACCAGTACCAAATATAAATATTCAATAAATAAATGTATGTACAACATTGTTTATCATAAATATTAATAACGAAAACTGAAACAAAATAGGTAATTTATTTACAGGTAATGATTGTAGTATTTTTAAAAGCACATAAAGCAACATCGCATTATTTACAACTAAAAGTGATTGCTTTTTGTTTACCGTGTGTGAACCAAACAATACAATGCTTTATTTTTTTTTGTTCGTACCCGGTTTCGTTGGGAGCTTAGTGGGAAATCAATCAGTCTTAGTGGAAAACATCCGTCATTTGATTCGATGGTGCCATAACTCCTTGGTTTGATTTTATAATATTTTGAATCAAATCTTTAATCAACTTTTTCAGAAAGTCAAACTCAAAATCTAATAATAAATAATAAAAGATAATAAATGTAACTTTTATGAGGGATACCCTTTTTTTACGCGAACTATACCTATACATATTCGTCATTAGATTGCTTTCGCTTTTAACTCTCTTTAGTTTGTAGTTAAAAAACATTTGATAAATTAAAAAGATGTAATAATAATCCTTACCCTCAAAACCTAAATTAATTACTTTCCTCAGTTTTGCGTCCTAATTACTCCGATATCCTAATTAATTCGAACATCCTGAAAAGCTGATCAAATGAAAATATGACACCGCGATCGTTTAATTTTCAGGTCGAACGACTGCTCCTTTAGCTCACTGGTGGCAAGACCCGTACAGCTGTTCATGTTTTGTGCCGTATACGGCCCTGGGGCATTAATCCTACTAATTTGTTACGGGTACATCTATTTCGTCGCCAGGGGACACGCCCGAGCCATCCTCGAGGTGAGACATTCTGTGCAAAATGGTCCCGCTGGTATTTCGGGTCCTCCACGGTATGGATTAGCTTTAGCCATCACCAGCGGAATGTTTCTTGCTCTTTGGCTCCCATTTCAAGTAAGTTTGTTTCTTTATTATCTATTAAAATTGTACAGCTAATTCTTAATTTAATTTACTAAACAATTTGTGCGATCGAGTTTAATAAAAACACAATTGTATTAGCTCTAGAGCGATAAAGGAGAAATGTTCCATTTGCGTTTAAAACGTGTTTATTTTTCCGTTACGTGATCTATTTTCACAAAGCTTCAGAGTATCGATGTAGAGTCAGATTTCCTTCCCTCATAATTATTCCAGTCACGTTTTCGGATACAGGGATTTGAAGGGAATGCTTTTGGCATTCCTAATCTGGTACTTAAGATTCATGTAGGGGTTTTAGACCAACGATGAAGTAAACTGAGTCGGAATCATGTTTATTAGATCACCGGAGCCCGACGGTAAACTTTGACATTTAACTAATGACTAGACTAAGTGTACCTTAGTAACAATTTAGATACATAGATATCTCTTTATCAACTTATTTGAAATAAAAAGTGAATTAGAACTAAGTCGATTTATGTGTTAAAATTCAATTTCAACAAAATTAGGTTTCGGTTTCGATGAGTTTTTGAAATTGGATTGGTGAAAGCACCAAAGATAAACGTTTGGAAAGTAACTCCTTGCCGACATTCCGGAAACCCGTCGCCGCTCGTCCATGTTGAGTATAATAGGGTAACAGAACAAGCCATAAATGTTCTCGACTCTTATGGTCGAGCGAAGTAAAATTGTATTTGGTCGAACTAAATCACTCTTTTCCGCGAAATTGCGTTCACGTTCGGTTAGGTATTCCCATAACAGCCCTGAAATACGACCATTTCGTCGCGCACGTTTGTCGGGTACCGCCTGTTACGACTCTTAACGTTACAGGAATATTTAAATTGGGTTCGTACATGTCCTCACGGTATTGTTCAATTTAAAATGAATTGCTTTTATATTTTTAGACATTTTATCGATTACTATTAACTAAATTTATTTTTAAACAATTAAAATACTTAAATCTGACAAAGGATGTTTTACATCTTCAATTTCACGTAGCCCCAGACAGTAGAGCTATCAAAAGCTCCATTTCGACATCTGATTACGAAACCCTTCCTTTGAGCACAGTCATATCGTGTCGTTCCGGTAAATTGAACGGAATCTCCTAGCGGTGTAAACTGCAATTGTACGTGTCGAGACAGATAAGTAGCATCTGTTACCAGAGGACACCGCCCTTTACAATATACAAAACATTTACTTCGTTGTCGTATACATTTTATGGACGTTAGACAAGCCATTACACTGGAAGAATACGATTTTGTTTAATAACATCACACGAATTGTTCGTCGAGAAGTTAGTAAGCACTGGTTGGATTTCAAGCGGAGGCGTTGGTTATAACTTCGCGAGAACATGAAATTTGAAATCAAGTTCTGTGGGAAACGTTTGTCTTCAAAGCTTGAACTAGTTGGAACAAACTTCTCTTGTCGTTCTTCACGGAAATCTAACCCGCATGTAACACTTTAACTGATTTCCTGCTCACAAATTTACAATCAATAAACGTTTAAACTATCTAACCTTACTTATCTGTTTAATTTTTTGTTTTATTTATTTTTTAAATGATACGTATTTTTTTTACAGACTTGTATGTTAATGGATGTCTTCATCGGTACCAACATCCTTTCGGAATGGGTTACCGTTTACTTGGCTTTACCCATTTTAGCAAGTAGTGCTTTTAATCCTTGGGTTTACGGCTATAGGAACGCAGAACTTCGTGCAGCCGTTAGACGAGTCGTTGATGATTTTTTAACAGCATTAGGTTTCACTTATAGAAGTCATCAAACATCAGATCCGATAGCTCCAAGTGGTGCTGCTACCGTTGGAGATCATGCTTCCTTCATCCACCATGTTCAAAGAGATTACTTCAGCACAAAACCAGCGGGAGATTTTCTTCTAGTTCCAATGGCGCGACCGGAAAGTTCTGACGTTGAATCAGAACCGGCAAAACTGTTTAAAGATCCACCTAGGATCATCTTAAGCGGTGATAGACCGATCATTTTGAAGGGTTCTCGGAGTATGGTAGATAGTTTGGCTATTTCAAAAGGTTCGGATATTGTTGTTATTAAGAATGGTAGCTGTGGTATGATGCACGGTGCTAGTATTGTATGAGATTTATTTTAGTCGATTTTTGTGTAATATTTTAGCGAATTTATTTATTTGAATAAATCCTTAAATATAATACAAAAGTTTTGTAGATTATGCAAAACAAACTACGTCGGACCAGAAAAGAAAGAGTATAACAATAAAAGATCATAATGTATTTTTTATACCGCTGAATAGTTTTAAATTATCATTGCCAGTGAAAGATGTGAATGAAAAAAAATACAAAGAAAGAATATTTATATCCATTTCGGCTATGTATATACGATACGCGTGTAGTTTAATAAAAATAATTGTAACTTTGACAAAGTATTCCTATAATAACATCATCCAATGTGTCATCTATCTCATTTCTTTGTGATAATACATAACCGGACTAACTGACTCATATTGAGTTTTATTTTTCTCAGAGGCCATTTGTGTACATTCGTAAACTGTAAATTTAAATTAATTGTAATATTGTGTAAGGCAACGAATTGCGCCTACTATGTACTGAAAAATAATGAAGAAAATGTAAAACCCGTTGAACCAAAGAAAATAATTTAAATCAAGATTAAGTATATAAGAGACGTATTTATTCGTTTGCGTCAGTGCCAAGCAGCAACACCGTCAAGATCTCAACATCCGTTTTATCTCTGGTTGTAATTTATTGTGTACTTAATTTATCTGTAGGCTGTGACCGAATTTTATTCAAACAAAAAGAGAAATAAAATAAAGTATAAAAAGAATAAGATTCAGAAAAACATGACTTTTTTTCATATTTCCTTTACCTGCTTCCTTATATTTCTAATAATTTGTTTATTATGGGTAAGATCGTGGAGATGGTAAGTTTTTGTTGACATCAAAATATTTTCATCTTACATTTATAAAACTAGATTAGTGTCAAGTTAAATGAATCGAATACACTAATTTCTTAATCAACTTGATAAACGTTTAGATTATTGCTATTCTTCTAGAAGTAAGTTTGTCATCGGTAAGTAACGATTCACAGAGATTACGGTCCTTTCACCTTTCCTCTCTACCGTGGACGTCCTGTCGCGTCCTGCGACGATGGGATATAAACTCTCGGTGCTAGATATGAACAAGAAGCTAGATTATCAAAGGGGGTCTAATAGATATCTTTACACGAATTCATATACTGAATTATGCTGTTCTTATTCCCAATAGTATTACAAGCTAACAATATTAAAGACGTTGGTTTATGTTAAAGATACATCAATATAATTTACATAATTTACAACTTTAGTTAATCAAAAATAAATTTATAACAAAACATTTCACTTATCACTGACAATACTATATTAAATCCTAATCCAATAATCCACTTTCTTCATTTATATCAAAGAAAGATCCATCATTTTTCTTCGTTAACTTTTGTCGTCTCAAAACCGAGTCATTCGTGACGCGTAAACATCTTTTTGCGATTTCCTCTTGTGAATTCTACGATTTATTGCTGATAAATTACATCATTCACGAGCACTCGTTTTGGGTGTTTGTAATATAAATACTTTGTTGCTTATGTTTAAATTTGTTATGTACTTCTCTTTCGCTTTGAATAACCGTTTCCTTATTTTGATATTCTCTTGCTTAACCAGTTTTAATATCTAATCGAAAGTGCAAGAAATTTGCGTTTTAATTTTTTTTTCTCCATATGATCTCAGCGTTATTCGCATCTTTAGGATTAGTCCCATCTGGGTTAGATATCGAAATTTGTATCCCATAAAACACCCCAAGCGGTAACTCTATTTTCATACATCAAATTAAGTGGTTTCATTAATACCATCTAAAGTTTCTGACGATTGTCAACTTTTGCTTTCAAATTGCTCGATATATTTTATTTCGCCTCGTTGGATAGAGATTTCTTTTCATGGTCATCCAATTTAGAAACAGATTAAAAATTCATTGCAAACATTCTGACATAGAAGTTGTCATCAAAGATGCCCCAAACTTCTAATAACAGTTATGTGATATTTTGCTATAAACCATAGTAGTGAATATTTATCTTGTTGCTACCAGAAAGCAAATGCAATTGGTTTATGGTCAACAGGATCAAGATATGTTGACAGGTTACTTGAACTAGAAGCAGTGCAATGTAATCGAGTTCCTTTCGGTTTCTCTTCAACAAAATTGTTAAGAGTTGCTTGGAACTCGCTCACTATAGTAACTCTGGAATAATCCGTGATGGCAAGGCTTTCTTCAAGTAAACACTTCAGACCATCGCTCGATGTGCAAAGTTCTTAGCTTTTTCAAAAACGCACATAGCAGCATTTAATAAGATACGGAACTATCTCAATGCGTTCTAGTCGCAAGAACACAAAATGCTCTTTTTTCGACGAGGTTGCAGATTTGTGCAGCTTTACGAAGGTCAACAGAGATAAGGAAATTCAAAAAAAAAAACGAAACGTGTCGTTAACGTTAACGTTCCACGCCATTTGCAAAAAATCTTTAAAAATTGTTTAGATATCTGTCCGATACAGTTCTAGCATTCAGGAACCATATGCAGAGGTGATATATTTGGAAATCACCTCAAACATGGCGGCTTACACTTTCAACTTCTTTTTCTTAAGGAGCCTATTCGATTCGAATGTTGACAATCATATTGATAATTATGATTTTGTTAACAGCAGCTCGAAACAATTCTTTTCCCAAAGCAAGTTCCAAGATTCCTCAGTCACGAGATTCTTCTTTTGTCAAGTCTTCTTTTTCCTTTGATTTCCCTTGAATTATGGATTGGAGCAGGAATATCAGTATTGATCAAGAATTTTAATTTGTATTGGTATGATAAGTCACAAATAAAATTTGATATTGCAAGAGTTAAGTAAGCCAGAAGATTTAAAATAAGTACTTTAGTGGCATTCATCTCCATCTTTTGCTTGTATTAGGATATCTATGAGAAACTACCCAACTATAATCGTAATACCGGAACTGGTCAATATTTCGATGTTAAATAATTAGCTTCCTATTGACAATGATCGAAGTTTGTCAGCAATAAGAGACCACGCTATCGGAACCGCGGTAATTATCCTATCATGCAACTTTCGTTTGAGACTTCCCAAAAACTAGGCAAAGAAATAAATCAACAATAAGCAATCATTTCACATCGACTTTTCAATTCAGTTGTCAATAAATTTATTTTTATTTATAAAAATACCAGAAGAATATAACATCAAACATAAAGTATATTGTTTAAAGAAGTCATTTTGTAGATTAAAACAAGTAGTGTACTACTTCGATGGAATATCAGATTAACAACCTTCTGGAAAAAAATAGCTTAATGCAAATGTAGGAGAAAGCAAAAAGACAACATTATTTTTGACTTTGGATTAATTCTTGGATATATCGTGAAAAATATAATACCACGTGTCGGGAACTATCCAAATTCTGATGTTAGTTGAAAAGTCCATCTATTGCCTTAATATTTTAAATATCTTTCACACGTTGTGGCCTCGTAAAAAATGAGAGACAACGTTGCTGCGACTTTAATTTTTTCCTAACCTTGACCTACCCATCACAGGTTTGATACGCATAAACGTGGTAATCACAAAAACAAAGCCATTTTAGCACTCTCTAGCAGCATAGCTGGATAAATTGTAGCAGCAGCTAGAATGGCCTTGAAAAAGTGAATTTCATAAAAGTTTTCATAATGGACTTCGGAAGTAGGGAAATAAAAATGATCTTGAAACCTATAAGAGTATAACCCTACTGAAAACTACATGCAAGTTACTAACGATAGTTATAATTAGCAAAATATCGGACCAAATATGGAGGATGATAGATGAGCAAAGTGGGCAAAGGAAGAAAAACGATGAGTTCTTAGTAGAGTATGTAAGAGATGATATGAAAGCTGACAATCTGCATTTCAACACGCTTAATAATTTATAATAGAAAACAAAAGACTTTGCTAAGACCCCAGCAATGTTCTTGTAAGGATAAAAGATATCTATATATGATTGAGGTTTTTAACTTATTACGTGAGTTGCATCAAGCAGAATTATAAATTGCCGTTGGTGTCAGCGTGAGAATGTTGAAAAGAATAAGTTACGAACGCTATTATAAATAAAATCCATTTCCAAAATTGGGCAAAACCTCCAATTAGTCATAAGAAGACTGATATACGATTATTACTTTAATTAGAAACGAAGTAACGAGTTTTCCACCTTTTCCTTAAAAACTTTGGTTAACAAATTACGCCGATTTTAATGGAACACTCGAAGTTGCTAAGTACAGAGAAGATATTTTAAACTAAACTCTGAATTAACTTATAGAATAGGAGAGAGAATCCCTTTATTTCCTTCATTTAACTTTGATGAATGGGCCACAAATTTTGAAATTCACCAATGTTGGTAGTAATGTTCAGAAATTATAGGTTATCGATCTTTAAATTAAGGAGCCAAACTTAATGAACAATTTGAATTGACAATTTCTTAATGAATTATTTTATTGTATAGAAAGATAAGTGGAATCTTAGGATTTTTTTGACAATCAAAGCACGTTTAAAAACAATTTTCCTTAAATATATTTTCTCTGGATGATTTGTTTTTGCCGTATTCATCGTGAATTGAAAAATACAATTGATGTTGGTGTACAAAACTTGTTATGAGATTCGCAACACTTGTTAAGAACACGTGCACTCAGTCATACTTCTTTTCAATTCAGGTATTATATTAAACACTCAACGCTTTCTTTATTTAATATATAGATATATTTATTTTCATTTTTCCTAAAAAATACTTATGCAATCTATTTAGAACGTATTACCAGTCTTACAATGACCACCAAAAAAATATGAGCCAATCAAAAAATTAAACAAAAAACAATTTTAAATTTTTAAATTGCAAAATACTGTGAATTTTTTTAATATAAACAATTTACACGTTCGCTAAGTAATTATTAACATTATACACAAAACAAAAATAACGAAGATACGAAAAAATATAAACATAGTGTTATAAACTAAGAAATCTATATCTAATTAGGCAATTATGATTTTATTTTTCTGTTTCAAAATGAAATAAAATCGTCGTAGTCATAATAAATATATCACAAATGCAAGTTTATATGATCTTCAAGTAATAATAATAATCATTTTTTCCGGTGAAGGCACAATCACACAATGACTAACTGAAGTATGTTGACCTCGTTTTTTGTGTATTAATTTTGTTTTTATCTTGAGTATTCTTATTTATAATTTTTTTAATATTTATCTATTACGACGTAATCGGTGTTGGCGTCAATTTATATACATTTGTATGGTGTTCTTGCTCTATCTTTTTCAAATTTTCCACGACTTCCCTATGTTCGTCAATCAATTTCCAAAATTCATTTTTCCTGTGTTCAGCTTCTTCCTAAAATGTTTTAATAAACAAGATTAGTCATTTCGTTTTCTTAAATATTAAAAAGGTTTTCTAAAGGTAAATATCAAAGGAAACGAGGGAGATGTATTATGAGAGGATACTTGTTAAAACGACAAGGGGTCGTCTTAAGTATATACTTCAAAGGACCCATTTACCAACCCTGAGTTTACTCACCAGTATTTTTTTTATTGAAGCATCTGACGATTGCCTGCTGTAGGGCCTTTGCTGCGGTTGGTAAAGAGAAATCTCAGCCATTTGACCATCTTTACTATTATTAACGTTGTTTGATGATTCTTTTGCTGAATCGAAATCATCAATTACAATACTGGAACAAATAAATAAATATATCGTTAATTCAAAATTTTGATTCTGAATGAATTTTAAGCGCGTTAAAAACTTTGTTGTTAATAATAGATTTTTCGTTTCAGATACATAGCAAAGTGTGAATGAAAACAAAAAGTTCAATTCAAAGCATATTTTCGCGTACACATGGATTGTTATGAAAACATTTCCGGGCCGGGAAATACGTTTTACTAAAAACATTTGCTGAGGTTGATTTCAAACAAATGTATACAAAAAAAAGAGGAAAAGTGTAGAATTTGGTCGGTTTCTCGCTTTAGCAATATATACATAACCTTGTGGCATTCCAATCCAAATGCTTAAATTTACGAAGAAGATGCAAGAATGCAAATAAACCAATCGACACAGCGCAAGAGTGCGTTCTTTTTTTAAATAAACCGCCCAAATCCGATTTGGGTCAATAACGTTTGTTGCCATGTGTTCTTGTTTTTGCATTCCAATCTGTTTGCACGTACAGAAAAAATAAACTACAGAAATAAATGAAAAAAAAAAATTAAGTAACTTGTGTAGATGTTTTTAGTCGCATTTTTAATTTGGAATTTTTTTCAATTTCTTTATGATACGTTCAAAATTGAGTCTCTTCCGGTAAAATGAGTAGCTCGTAAATTTTGAGGGCCATCACGGTTTATTTACAAAAGAAGCGTTTGGAGTTTAGACGAACCGGCTGTTTATAAAATTGACCAGATAAGCTATAAAATCAGAGAGTAGTCCAATGTCTGGCGGCAAAGTTATTTTCGAAGAAAATTGGAGTCCATATTTCAACGATTTTCTTAGAATTTATATAAAAATCTCACAGAGAATTATATATAACGTTGAAACGAAAAATATAACCCAATTTATAAAATTCCTTTTAAGGAAACAAGTCGCCAAGGGAAATCGAACCTTTCAACTATTTTAATTGGAGAAAAAGTAAAAATAACCAAAGTACGTCAATAGAACGCTGAATAAAACAAACTTTTTATAAGAGTTATATGTGGGTGTTGATTTTATAGATTTTTTCTAATTATTCCATCGATAAGTAGGTTTAAAAGATTTGCTCTAATTTATATTAACTATAACATAACTTGTTGATCATGAATTTAAGAAAAAGGAAGCAAAAATAAATAAATTTACCGGGAGATTTACGGCACGGCATTAAATAATTGTATTGTTTTTGTTGGCTGAGATTCTTCGTGCGTAAGTCTTCGAAATTGACGTAGGTTTTCGATCTAAATTAAAAACGTCGTTGACGCTCAACCAAAACGAATTAAACACCATCAGAAATATTTATATAATATTTATATTCCCCGGGTTGTCTATACGATGTATAAATCAAAAACGTCTTAAGAGATAGTTCTAATGCTAGTGTTAGTTTTAATGGTTATTCACCGTTAGATTGTTGTATATTTTTCATTGAACTAAAACTAGACCTACCAGTAGACCTAGAATATACCGATACTTTCTAGTTTTTTTCTACTTTCTAGCACTGAATAACAACTAAAACTAGAACTAACATAAGACCCAGAACTAGAATCATTCGGGTTTAGCCATCTTGAAAGACGTGCACCTAAATTGGAATGTTTCCAGTTTTCGGTCTAGTATTAGTTCTAGTTTTACACTAGCATTATCACTAGAACTAATACAAGACCTAGAACTAGAATCATTCGAGTTTAGCAGTCTTGAGAGACGTGCGGCTAAATCCGAATGTTTCTAGTTCTAGGTCTAGTGTTAGTTCTAGTTTTAATTGTTATTCAGCGTTAGATTGTTGTATATTTTTCTACATACAAGGCTTTATCAAAAATATGAAGAAGCAAGTGGAGCCAGGATTTAAATGCGGATTTGGAACCAGAGAAGCCATGTTTATTCTCCAGACACTGGTGCAAAATTGCCAAGATCAAAGAAAAGACGTTTTTATGTGCTTTATCGACTATGAGAAGGCATTTGACAACGTTAAAAACAATCTTCTGATAACATGCCTTAGAAATCTGAGACTCGATACAAATGATAATAAACCTCATGTAAATCTCTTAACAATATCCGGTGTGCTTTTAGATACTTGGCTTGCATGATCAATTGATGGATCAAGAGATAAGATGTAGGATTGAACAAGCTAGACCAACCTTTCTAAAACTTCGAAAATTTCTTACGGACGAACCTGAATTTTAGCCTCAGATATAGGATGGTCATGTGCTACCTCTGGTCCATTCTCCTATATAGCGTTGAGACATGGCTAAAAATATCAATCGTCAACAAAATCGAACCCTTCGAAATGTGGATCCTGCCGAATTTTTTTTATAAACGGACTTTTGACTATAACGGACACTCCTTTCCCCATATTAGTCTGTTAAATCGAGATTTTACTCTACTTGAATATTTTATGAAATTAATAATAAACATTTTTTTTTTAATTTATAATCATCTTAAAACTTCTTAACAACTCAACAAACTTCTTATTTCTCAAGTAAACTTTTCATAAGTCCTCTTCTGATCGACTTGTGGAAAGCACATCGACCCTGAAACGTGAAGAGAATCGTGGGGGCGCCAGCTGTGAACGTTACAAGTTCAAACCGGCGTCGTCGACCAACGTGGATCGATTCCTATCCCTGGACTTAACTATTTATGGTTGTCCCGCTACTAAATATAGTTTTAGTGCTTTCTAAACATAACGAAAAGAGAACAGACGATATGTAAAGAGAGAAAACGCGCGCAGAAAAGCACTTACAAGAAAATGAATATAAATTCGCACCCCATGAACCCCTTTTTCTCAATATTTTTTATTCCAGGGATTTCCCCGTAACTTGAATGACGTCAGAAACGCCCCCGCATCGATTTCCTTCTTAAAAGGAGAATGAAACACGAAAATAAAGTGACGTTTCTATTTCTGGTTGGGTTTCGCATGTAAAGACGTCATCTAAAGATTAAAATAGAGTTAAATTAAATTGAACTTAAATTTAAAATTTTTTGAATAGATATTAAGACATTAGTTCGATTTGACTTTATGAATCAATGACCAAAGAGAAAAGAACGTTAATTTTTAATGGCTTGAAAGTAGGAAGAAGGAAGATCATAATTTAAGTGCATGACTTGACTCGTTAAGAGTCTTAAGAGTCGTAGTGGGTGGTAAATCCTTGAAGGCGCCGTTTACAATCTTAGATATTTGTTATTCACGTCACGTCGAAAAGAAAAAAATATAATTACTATCTTGATAATATTTATCTTCAATGTATCTTCATTAGAATTTTAAATTTTAAATAAATCTCGCAATTTATATCAACACGTCTTAACAGTTTTAGTTCTTTAATTGTTTTTCTATATTTTTTCAAATATTTAGATGGGCTGTCATAAACTATAATATTTTAGCTTTAATTAAAGACTTAAGTCATTTCCCAACATCCAAAAATATTCCAATAGCAAATTTTTCAAATTTGTAGTTCTTGCTTAAAACTTAATAGATTTATTTGTTTGACTTGTTATTCTTTTTGGTTATGGGAAGAAATGATTTAGACATAAATTAATCTAAAACCTGTTAGTGAAAAGTATTTGAAGCCATCACTTATAATTACAAATTTAAATAGCCAAAAAATCAAAACTTTTCAAAATAGATGGTTTTAGGAACAAAATCGCCTATAAATTTAAATAGGAAAGTTATAGGGAGAAACTGTTTAGATAAAAAGTGTTCTAAAGTATACTCAAAAGATATTAACGAAAGTCTATTGGCGCCATCACTGATGAATACCAATTTAAAATGCATAAAATTCAAAAATTTCCAAAATTGGCAGTTTTAACGATAAAAACACGAATAAATTTAAAATGAAAAGTTATAAGAAGATACTGTTTGGGCCAAACAGGTTTTAAATTAATCTAAGAATCTATTTATAAAGGCTATTTGGAGCTATTGCTGGTTTGAGTGCAAAAAAATCGAAAATTGCCATAAAATGGCAGTTTAAACAACAAAGTCGCTTATACATTTAAAAAGAAAAGTTATGGAATGAAACACTTTAGATAAAAAATGTTCTAAAGTAATCTAAAAAGCTATTAGCAAAAGTCAATTTGAGCCATCGCTAATATTTGCGAAATTGGAAAGCTACAAATGCGAAAATTGTAAAATTAGCGAGTTTAACAAAGTTGCTAATAAATTTAAAATAAAAAGTTATATGAAGAAACAGTTTTGATAAAAGAGGTTCTAAATTAATCTAAAAAACTAGTAGCGAAAATCATTCGGAGTTATTAGTGCTAGTTGCCAACTTAGAAAGGTAAATAAAAATTCTAAATTTGTCAAAATTGGCTGGTTTAAGATCTAAATCATGGAAAGAAGCGGTTTAGGTAAACAATTTTCTAAATTAATCTAAAAAAAACTATTAGCGAAAACCAATTGGAACCATAGCTGATAATTGTCTACTTAGAAAGCTGAAAACTTCCAAAAATGGCAGTTTCATCAAAATCGGTAATACATCAAAAATGAAAAGTATCTAAATTAGTCTAACGACAAAATCACTCACAATTTCCAACTTAGAAAACAATGAGAACAAACTTTATTGACAAAATTGATAAAAATAGAATACAATCGCATGGACCTTGAATGTTCAGCTGAAAAACTACCAATATATAACTTGATCATGATATATGAATCAATACCAAACCACCATAATTACTTCAACCTTCTCCTGTCAGAATAGAAATGTTTTAAGAAAGATAATCAGCTCACATTAAATAGGGTTTTTTTATGTCCAAATTTTTCTTCTTCCTTTCTCCATGAAATCAATCCAACTATATTGAATAATTTATTTTTTTTTAATTAATTTCTATTAATGGATCAACTATTTTAACTTAACTAGCTCAAGATCATTAATTTACCATCTTAGGCATACAAATTAACCATCTGCCAATGTCTTCGTTAGAATTAACCTCGAAACGCTTTTTGCATTGAAAAAAGAAATATATATATTTTTCTAAAACGTGCTCGACCTTTCTTTACAGCAATTAAAACTACGATAAGAAATCATTGAGGACATAAACAACAAAGTAAATGAATTAATCGTTTTAGATGGGAAATCCTCTAATAAATAATCAATACTATGTAAATTTTACTCGGTAATAAAACAAAAACGTAATTGACGGAAAATTCCAGGAAATACAACGTCTAGCAATTATCACCAATGATCATCCCAAAATGGATAGGTCAACGTGTTGTGATTCTCCCTGTTATTAGTACATTAATTGTATATTCACAGATCGTCGCCGCCGATCTCATTTTCCGACAGCAAACACATTAACCCATTTCATTTCGACGAACGAAATAGTGTCATAACGTTTTGTAAACAATCCAATTTTAGTCGTTCATTTTTACCACGCAGCTTTCATTTATGGTATAATTAACATTGGAACCTTTTCGAACATTTAGTATTTAATTACAATTTGATTCAAATTCAGGTTATTTATAGTTTTAATGTTTTGGTTTCGCAACTAAAAATATTATATTTGATAAACAACATGATAAAACAATAAATATAATAGAGTACCTTTTTGTTCTAACATATTTTTTAAATATTTTTACAGTCTTAAGATATAGATTATTTCGATTAATTGTTCATAATACGAACGAGATAATAATTGAGACTGTTTATGTCTGGAAATTGTAATTTTTGTTTTAGATTTCAATTTAAAACACGTGTTGTTTTAGATTCGTTTAAATCGTTAAAATCGATACATTAAATATTTGACTGAAGAAGGAAAGCAAATTATATAGGTGGAAAAGCACGTGTTCTATTTTCTAGATAACTAAAAAAAGATTTTTTATTTAATTCTTACCTTAATCCAGGAACTCTGCAAGAAGAATCCACGTTATTCTTTTCTGATCTCATCTTGATAGTGTTAAAATAATGTAATTTTGGAAACGAAAACAACCGCGAAAATGATTTAAAAAATGATTTTTTTATTTCCCTTTAAATCGGAGTTGAAAATGTGAGAATTTACGATTGTAGTGCGACTATGACCGTACCACACTGCCTTCTATATAACCGTGCGTGCGGTTGTTATAGATTAACACTGAGCCACGGTAAGACGGACATGCGATAAAATATTCCCAACGGTGCTCGACGATGTTTGACGTTGATAGCGGATACGATTCTCCCCACTCTACACGACAAACTCAACTTGGAGTTTCGTATCTCGAACATATAAAGTTTTTTTTGAAAAACATTTAAAAAAAAACTATTTGTAAAAATTGCTACCCAATAATGGTGTTTAATATAAAACGTATTAACATTGTTATCAAGTAATTTCGTTATTTTTGCTTTCTACGCAGTTTCAATTTTAATTATATTGATATCTAAAAATTTGTATTTATGAATACAAATAAAGATGAGATTATGATATCACATTGAACACTTCCAACTAACAAGTTCTTTAATGTGCTATGCTACTGGAGAATTATATGCAATAGTTCAAGCACTGTTATAGAATAGTATGAATCATTTTGGATTCAATGAATAATTAGTGATTCACTTACTATTAGTAGTAACACATTATTACTAGATTCTTTTACAAATAAAATAATGGTGCAACGAATCTTTACATTATCACAAAATATCTGGAAATTTTTATTCCACGAAATATTACAGAAAGTGACACTAATGAATATGACGTTAAACTGTAATATCTTATGAAAACTTTTTGATTGGGCATTGCCAAGGTATTTCTGAATGTCTTTTCTGAGATTAAGATTTGCATAGATATAACTTTTATACAGGGTGAGTCTATATCCACTCCCCAGCCCTGGTATGTGTTCCACAATTAAAAGTAATACAAAAATGAAGAATATGCCAAAAGCTGACATTTTAGTCAATCAAAATTGAAACAAATTTAAATTAAAAAAAATAAAATAAATTTGTTAACAAACTAAAAAGAAAACTCAAAATTGTTACAATTTTCGTTAACACACCTACTACTAAAGTTAAAACCAACAGAATTGGAATTCTCACTGGAATGGTGGTTGTTGATCATTGTGGAATTTCCATTTTTGATTCAAATCGTTGGTTCAAATCGGTGTACAACACATCATGGAAAAAATCAGAGTTATGGCCTATTTCATTTAATACTGCTGTGCAAAAATTGACCTTCAACAGATCATTTCCGAGTTGTAGTTACTATTATGATGTTACTATTACAATTATACATAATTGTTCAGAGCTTTTTTATAAAAATAGAATTCCGTTGAAATTCTCAGGGAACTTCAGAGAGTTGTCTAGAGTTGCCAAAATTATCTCGTTTGTTTTCTAAAAAAATTTGAATTGTTCGGAGAAATTGTAGGGAGAAACCATCGATGAGAAGGACAACCAATTTACTACCTAAACAAGCCTTTGCTTAATGATGGTCATAAAAAAAAGAAAGTCTGGGTAGGTAACTAAATCCATTCAGACAAAGAGGCAGACATTTGTTGAAAGTTTTGTTACGGGGTTTAAAATTAAAAAAACCAGTACGTCCTATACTAAAATAGGGCAATTTTTGTTCTAGTTTTGTCTTCTTCATTCTTTCCAGTATCATCTGCAAAGGTAGCAATTACTATATCAGATAATTGGGCTGGATTTGAATTTTGCAATATTCATTTTCAAGTTTAACTTTTAAACAAATATATATTTTCAATATAATCCCTTGGTGCTAGTGATGTGCATAGTGATTTTGCGAAAAGTCGGATACCGGATATTCGGCATTCCTTCAGCCGGATATCCGGTTATCCGGCATATCTATCCGGCCATTATGATTATAATTTCTGGTACATTTCTGAAGTGATACCCTATATTGCCCCATTATTGCGACATTTGAATAAAAATGAAATTAATAAGAAAGCTGATAAGATATGTCAAGTTATTTGGATCGAAGATACAAAATGAACTTTTTTGATGCTGATTTAACTAACGAAGCAACTCTGAAAAGAGGATACTTTAATGAATTATTGGCGGTATTTCCACAAGGATCCTTCAAGGAATGAATTTTATAGCGAATTTTGAAAATTTTATCAAAACTTCAAATATTGTTTTCTCAAAAACTAAAAGTTATTTTTCAAAACGGGTTAGTTCATTGGAAAGAGGGCACTTTTATTAACACTTTGGGAAATTTTCATACTCATATTCCAAGAACTGGATTTTATAAAAATTTTTAAAACTTTATCGGCGAAAATTGCAAAAATTCGAAATAATTGTCGATTATTTCAAAAATGTATTTCTCAAGAACTAAAAGTGATTTTTCAAAACGGCTAGTGGCATTAAAAAGAGGATAGTTTAATTAATAATTGCTGATATTTCCACAAAGATCCTTCAACAAATTAATTTTATAGCAAATTTTTAAAGTTATCGATGAAAACTGCAACATCGAAAATTTTATCAAAACTTCAAATATTGTTTTCTCAAAAACTAACAGTTATTTTTCAAAACGGGTTAGTTCATTGGAAAGAGGACACTTTTATTAACACTTTGGGAAATTTTCATACTTATATTCCAAGAACTGGATTTTATACGAATTTTTAAAACTTAATCGGCGAAAATTGCAAAAATTCGAAATAATTGTTGATTATTTCAAAAATGTATTTCTCAAGAACTAAAAATTATTTTTCAAAACGGCTTGTGGCATTAAAAAGAGGATACTTTAATAAATAATTGCTGATATTTCCACAAAGATCCTTCAAGAAATTAATTTTATAGCGAATTTTTAAAGTTATCGATGAAAATTGCAACATCGAAAATTTTATTAAAACTTCAAATATTGTTTTCTCAAAAACTAAAAGATATTTTTCAAAACGGGTTGGTTCATTGAAAAGAGGACACTTCTGTTATCACTTTGGGAAATTTTCATACTCGTATTCCAAGAACTGGATTTTATACGAATTTTTAAATCTTAATCGGCGAAAATTGAGAAAATTGTCGATCATTTCAAAAATGTATTTCTCAAGAACTGAAAGAAGAGGATACTTTAATTAATAATCGAAAGTGATACAGCGACAGTTCTGTTAGTAATGAATGTGATGAACTACAAGTGAAGAGAAGAAAACTAGACGAAACTGCAACAACAGATTTTATATATCGTATTGGTATTGTAACAAGGAGGTTGCTAAAGACAAACCTGATATAAATAAAGTTGTGTTGATTTATTACCACATGCTTGTTTCTAAAGCGAAATTGATGGTGCAGCTTTTTTTGTTTCTAGTATTAGGGTGAAACTTTTCAGAAGTACTTTTTCAAAAGGTTTAGATATGCTCTGGAGTATTGAGATTGATCTATAGCAGCTGGTCTCGTTTGGAGGTTTTTCTGATTTTTGACATATTTTAACCGGTACGTCGTGTTAATCAAGTTAATTGTACGATTTCTTTTCTTGGTAATTGTTTTAGAGTTTTTCTAAATATTAGATCATATCCCGGACCTTTTCTGATGTTGATCCTTTTTATTTCTTTTATTACCTGTTTTGAACTAACTAGATCAATTTGTATCTGTGTCCCATTAGTAATGGACCACCTGTATAATGGATAGAAAACTATCATTACTCATTACATTACACAGAGGATAATACGACTATTTTTGGTATCGTTAATATATTTATAACGATTTCAAAAAAATATTATAAATAATAGAGAGCATCTTTTATTTCTTAATTTTACATAATATTTTATCTAAAAAAAATTCCTTAAGTACTTAAAATAAGATAAATTAGTTTATCAGTCCCACATAAAATACGAGAAAAATGTACTCCAGTTAATTTTTTAAGGAATTAACTTGTCCAATAAAAATCTATTGATAATAACCGTAAATTACAATTAATTTTCTTCAACTACTTTAATTTGGCGTACTCCGATATCGAAATAAATCATAACCTTCTCAACTTCGCACTACAATTAACAATTAATTATTATTTAAACAAATTTGAATCAAAAGTCTAACGATTTTAATTACTATTAGTAGTTTATGTTTTAGTTTCGCTTTTAGATATTAATATTGTAAATGATTTAACAGGATTTTCTAAAAAAAAACATTTTGCAATCAAGATAATTATAACTAAATTATAAACGACGTGCTAAATAATTACGCGTTTTTAATTTATTTATTTGGGGAATTTTTAAATAATAATTTCGAAGAAAGGAAATAATTCTCAATGTTAAATTTAAATTGGAAATTATCGAGATAACTTTTTCTGTTAATTATAATTATCAATTTCTAATTAAATATACGATTTCCATTTCAACAATAATTGTTTGTATGTTTGTTTAAATATATAAATATCTCTAATCACGTAATCCTATTTGCTTACAGTTTAACTAAATAAGCAAAACAATTTGTGGACGTGAATAAATAGTAAACTGTAAATAATATAATCCCGTTTGTGTTTAATGGTTTGTTTAATTTAATAGGATTAGTTAAATTATTAATATCTCGTTGACTAATAACAGCACATCCATTTTAGTAATTCATAAACGGTATCGATTAGGATTTATTTGGATGTGAATAAATAATATATTTGTTGTAATTGGAAGATTAAATTGATTAACAGTTACATATACAAGAAAAATAATCCATCGTTTCGTCTTTTAATAACTACAATTAAAAAATTTATTTATAATTTACGATTGCTCATTTCGTTGGTATTCCAAGTTGTTAAATTAAAATTGTTGTTTTCACTTTGATGTGTTTATAACCGCTAATTATTCATATAAATCAAAAACGATAATATATTTGCGAATACAAAAAAATAAACAGATTTTCTAAATCCGCATATGCGTTCGAAATCCTAATAAATAACGTTTTTAATAAAAATATCAAACAGTTATCTTGTAAATAACTTAAAAATAATATTGATTAATCGGAAATGTAAACGATTTTTGAAATGAATTAAAATTAACTAATCGTTAAATTTGGATGATTATTTCAAACATTAAATTTAAAATCTTTTTTTTTCTTTTTTGAGTGATAATAAAATGTGTTCGATACATAATAACATAAAATTGCTTAAATTTATCAATTACATTTAATCAACGTTGATTTAACAAAAAAAATTGTTTAAATATCCATTCAAA